AGATGGTGCTGGAAAAATTAAGAAGTAAAACACACTTTCACAGAATAAAACCTTTTTGTTTCAATGCACATGGAAACTTTGATACAGTTTAATATGAAGAATACAAAATCAATTTTTTATAGTGAAGTGAAAAGTCAATGTTACAAGAGTAGAAAAGTTTGGGAATCCAGAAAAAATTATCTTAATATCAGATGAGACCTTAAAACCTGGACACTTACATTTGTGTCACATAGCAATTTTCCTTCTGTAAAGACAAAAATAAATAGGACAAGCTGATCTATCCCTGACCTACTTTTGCACTGAAACCACCAGAAATTTTTATAGCCCCAGATTCTAATCTGACCTAAGGATGTTTTTAGCTTACAATTCCTGCTGTCTCTTTCCTGCCTTGATTTTGCTGTTGTCTCCTGCCCAAGTTCTTCAAACTTTCTAAGAGTTGCATATACTGTCTTCAGCAAGTGATGAAGCTCTTTAAATCCAGAAGCAGTGATGCACCATGAATGGGCTACTTTAGGTGTAAAAGAAAATCGCTACAGTCATTGGCCAAAATCACATCATGACCTCAATCCCACTTCAGGAGAGTGCCTGATCCAAAACTGTTTCTAACTTTGTCCAGCTTCTTCACCACATATTCTCTAATATCCAAATCTACTCAGCCAAAAAACATCTTGACTTTATTGTCAATAACATAAGAAAGAAGGTAACAGGACATGCAAGCTCATATTAAGGGTTCCCTCTGAATTTGGATTACTCAGGTAATTAATTTATTCTGACATATTCTGGTAGTGTTTGGAGAGTACCGCATTCATATTCAAACCTTCATACGAAATGAAATACTACTCCCAGTTTCTGAGTCAGGGAGGCAATAAAGTCCACTTTATGCGTGTTTCTGATATTGAATAAGAGTATCTGATATTTTACAATATATACAGTTTGTAACTACAACATGGGAATAAACAAATATTTGAATTTAAGCAGGTGTCCACTTAGGCAGTGGGAGACTATAGATATCTATGAAAAACTTCCATTTATGCACTGCAACAAGTACAAAACTCTCTTACCTGCAGGTTTGCACATGCTGGTGAATCATTGTGGGAGGGTATTTCATTGTTGGTGGTCTCTGAACCTGTGTTTTTAAGTCTGGAAGCTGTTGTAGTTGTGGCTGTAGTGGTCTGTACTGGTAAGATTGGCTGCCAGACATTTACATCAGTACCATTGCCGAAGGCCTGAATAGCATTTTCTGTAAAAACAAATTACAGGCAATTTTCTATTTCTAAAAACAAAAGGCAAAAAGCAGAACTGAGTTGTTTTTTATTATTATTATTATAATTAGTACATTGAAAATGTGTATTTAGAGAAACTCATTTTTTATGCTGAAAAATGTGTCTTAATTTTGAACCTATCTGAAACGTGAACTCAGAGTCTGGGGTCATAATTATCTGGTGCAGCCTCTTCTTTGTAATGTTTCCAGTAATTCTTGACAGGCACTCTAGGACTTACCATAATCATATTTGTTACCATCCAAAAGCCTCAAAAATTTACTTTGAGGATTTAAAATATAGTTTGAATGTCATGTCCTAACTCAGGCAGGTGATTTTAGCAAACTGAAAACAGAGAACAGGCAAAATTCTTATTTCTACATCTTGTTGTAGTAAAACTAATATGCTTATAACTACAAAATAGTTTAACCAAGGCAATCTTTTCCTTACAGTTTTCAATCAAAATCTGCATAATTAGGTGAAGGAAACATGCTTAAACTAAAACTTTAGAATATAAAAGTTAAAAAGCTTATCACAGTTTCACGGGATTAAAGAGTGTGTTTATAGCAAGAGTAAATTGGTTGGGGCTTTTATAAAACAAATAGAAAAACAGTTTTTAATCAGGTCTTTGGGGATTCAACATGGATTTAGGCATTTCTTATTCCAAATTCTTTGTACAAGAAACCAAACAATTTCACTGGGGACTAATATGTGGAAGTTATTAATACTTCTTCTCAGTAGTATTCCTTGGCTTATAAAATAATTTACATTTAATTTTCAACTGAAAAATATGTATTTTATTATGATATTAGTTCTCAGAACTCCAACATGTAAAGAGAAGAATTTGTAAAAGGCACCACAATCAGCTGGGTTACTGGAGACAAAGTGGGAAGAGTGAAATTATATGTTTCCTTAGTTTCCCCAGAATGGGGCAATATATAAACCAATATTTTCCTATTATTTCCTAAATTGACAGCAAGTCTTTGTTTCCACTATTACAAGAAAGGTCACAGAAAATCGTTCCAGGTTTTTAAGTAACAAGTGGTCTTTACAATTAGTTTTCTTCAATTATTTCATACAGTCATACTCAATGATCCTTATGAGTCTTTTCCAGCTTCTATGACAGAATCACAGAATGATTTGGGTTGGAACCATCCTTTTTTTAAGCACTGAAAGGCAAAAATAAGGTCTTTCCAGAGTCTTCTTTCAAGCTAAACAACACCAACTCATAGAAGAGGTATCCCACCCCCTCCTCAGATTTTCACAATATTTGAAATATATATACATATATATGAAATATCTATTTTATACATATAACTTTAATACATATTACAAACGTATTTCAAAAACCATAATGACTTCAAGGAGGTGCTTCAAATGTCTAACTGCTCTAGTAAAGGTCCTCCCAATAATTTTTTTTTACTAACTCACAGGCAGGTGTGAACAAATTCTTTGAACAGATGGGTAGATATACTGAATCCCATTCAGAACAGTAGGAATTCTAGTAAACGCATTCTATCAATGAATGTCAGAGCATTCACTTTCAGAGTAGTGAAAAAAACTCTCAAGATGGATTTCCAGAATTTACGATTGGCCAAACCTTACCTTGAGAGGCAGAAATTAGGAACACTGCAGTACTGGCATCTTCCAATAGAGCATAAAAGTAAAAGCAAGGCAATATACAGCCAAAATTTTAGAGAGGAATATATCTTATTTGGGTCCTATTAAACTGGAAATTGGGCTAATTTCACAGTTTTGATACAAACCCATATTCTGCAGGAAAATGCTGAGATAAAGAAACACTTTATCTAATACAGATAAAGAGAAACAGCAAAATGTTTGTCTTCATGGGACTAATTACTAAAACAGACTGGAATTTTCACTTGTATTTTCACACCCATCTTTTGAAATCAAAACTTGCACTCTGGTTTCAACTTAACATCTTTTGCAAAAGGCATTTAAACTCTAGAGTGTAGTTTCTGGAAAAGTGCATGGGGAGGACCAAGAAAGACCAGGATTTCAGGTGTGTATGCGGGACATGGGACACTCAGTTTCATATCCCAGCTCTGCATCAGGCACTGTATGAATATGATCCTCAGTCTCCGGCTTTCTAATTTCCCTGGCCCGCAGGGTACAGTCCCAGCTCTTCCATTTTGCATAAGTAACTAAAAGGATTTTTATTTAAGTTAGCTTTTCCACATCATTATAAATGCCCCAAACAACTAACTTTTCCCATTCTACATAAAAGAAAAACTTTGTATTAAACCAGAAATGTCTGTAATTGCTTCATGAGGAAGACATCTCTTGCAGCTAAAAATGACTATAATTTGTCTCACAGTAACCTCTACTGTCTTTGATTTGTCTTCATTAATGCTTTTGTACCAATGGTAAAAGAAAGGACAAGGAATTGCTCTGTCTTTATGTTCTAAAAGGAACCTGTAACATTCTAGAAAATAATACATTCACAAATGAGTACAATCTGAGGTATTACAATATATATAAATGGCAACACCCATCAGGCTTAAAGAAGGTCTGATGGTATATTGTTAAATTTTACCCCATCATAATTTGAACTCTTTTCTCTTTTTCTTATGCTAAATGATCTTGAGTAATTGATTAATTCTTCCAAAGCTTAATAAATAGTGCATCACACATAGCAACTCATGTTTTTGTAGGCAAAGCTCCCCATGTCTTCACCACAATGCTGCCTCTTGAGAAGCTGCCAATGGAGATTTTCAGACCCTGCTAAAATACAGACTGAACCCTGCATTAGCTCAGGTCTATAGGGCTGGACAGAACAGTCTGGATCACTGAGTTCATTTACCGTTTTTGAAGAAAGCAATGCTGTATGTATGCTTCTTTGCATAAGCTGATGAAATACGACTTTTAAATCCACTTTTGCCCTCAAAACTCCTGCTGGAAGCCTATTTCTTAACTTTAGTGTGATGGTTAAAATTTTTCCAATTTTGAGCCTAAATATGTATGGCCAATATCTCCCTTTTTGATCTTATGCCAACACTGTCCTCTAGGAGAAGTAATCCTTTTCCCTCTCTGGGCTTGCCCCTCTAACGCGGACAATCACGTATCCTTTCAACTTCTGTTCTGCTAGGCTAGGGAAACCAAGCTCTTTTGGCCTCCTCATTTATCTGAAATTAAAACTCTGATGCACACTCCACCTCATCCAATTATGCTGCTCCAGGCAGACAGGAAATTTGAAGAGAGAACCTGCCAAAATCGACTCTACTGAGCCATTCTGAAATTTATAATACTCCCTAATTTGGAAGTGAGTCTGACAGGAAAAAAAAATCATTTATTTAACAAAATCTTTACAACAGTTACCATCAAGGCTTGTGTTAAAACCAGGCCTCTGAGATCAAATATCCTAAAAACCCCGAAGTTGGCAATAAACTGCAAGCACAATCCAATTTATACTTACCTACAGCAAATCCTTCATATCATAAACTACATGTCTTTTTAATATGAAGTTCTGAAATAGCACAGAAACCCCCCAGGTGTTGCAAGATTTTGTTAAAGATGCTTCCTGACTGTTAGGGTCCAAATATGATCTGTGATGTAAACATATTTCAATACCATACAACTTTGTTATTCGAATTTTTTTTTTCCAAGAGCTCATCATGTTTGCAATCTTGGCCATAAACCTCAGTATCAGGCATATTTGCTTGTTCTTTTAATTTTAACACCTATAACAGAACCATGCCTACAAAGTGCAAAGAGATGGCCTTGATGTATCGTAACACACTTAAACAGCAAAAAAAACCCTAAAAAACACCCTAAAACACATTAAAGACATCTAATTTTGTACTCACTAAGGCATATGTTGTCCTGGAAGAAATTCAGGAACTTCTCGCATTCCTCTCTGTCATTACCACTGTTGCTGCAGTCGCACCACGGGGCAACACTGAGACTGTTTGAGTCTATGTAGTTTGGTGTCATCACGGTGCCTGTTAACAGAGTGAAGCACAGCACTGTGAGCAACCTTTGTACTGAAATACTCTTTCCATCCTAAGAAGACAGCAAACAGCACCTGGTAAGTCATGTATTCGGGGTTGGATTCACAACACAAACCCACAGCAGGGCTCTGACCTCCACACTTAACAGTTCTGGCTCCTTTTCACCCTATGACGCCCAGCCTTGTGCCATAGTTCACACCCTTGGTTGCTGGAATTGCACTCTAAAAATCTGGGTTTTCTTTCTTGCCAGTTTTTTTTTCCCCTATTTTAATTCTATCTGCAAATAAACAGTTGAAACTAGGTATCCAGACCTGTGCTTCCTCATTGAGTCTGCAGTCAGCCTGAAAAAAACATTTCTGAAATGCATGAGCAAGGAGAATGCTAGTCATGCTGAGGGGAGCCCTAATATGTCTTGGAGGAGTGTTAACCTCAGGGTGCTCATTAGGAACCTGCCAACAGAGTGGGTTATGGTGATGAACAGAGCAAAACCCAGCGTGCATGAAAAGGTAACAGAAGATTCTTTGCAGGTAATAAATTACTATTAATCTTGCTGTCTCACTACTTCTTCAGTACAGTGATTATTTCCTAAACATTGTCAGCAACTTCCAACCACAGGGTCATTTTAACTCTATTGCAAGTTCTTGAGTAAATATTCTCACATTTATATGTCAACTCAAGGCTACCAAGAATGAAATGGAACCAAAGAAGGCATTTTTTGTCCTAAAAGATGTACAGCGACTGTTCATCACTCATCTGGATCGGGAAACTGGGAAACTCTTATATGATCAGCAATTGCTCAAGCCAGTGGTCTAGCTGAAGGCATCACCCAGCAGGTCAGATATTTCAAACCTCCCTAAGGATTACAAAGTTTTAACCTTTATTTTATTTGTCTGATCAAAAAGGAAAAATTAAATAAAAAGGGGAAAGTATTCCAGAGCTGTACTGCTGCTTTTTCAGGGAACATATTTCTCACTTGATAATCAGCAATTCTAGGATAGGTTATATATCATGAGGAAATGTGATCACATCTCCTCAAAACCGACATCAAAGTAGTCATTAATAAGATGGAATAGACAAAGGACAAATGTTAGAGACACAAAGTGTACACTAGCAATGAAAATTTGGTCCATAGGTCCAGGGTTCAATAGTCTGCAATAACACACAGGAAAGGGCTATCAAACATCAAGCTAAAAGAAGGAACATTAGAAATAGCACGAATCACAGAATGATGTCAAACAGTCACCAAGGCAGTGCTGGGAACTGAGCAAATCAACATGCAAACTGCTGCATATCCGATGTGGGGACAAAGGAGAACAGGCATTAGGGCTGGCTTGAGAAAGGCAGTAATGTATGTGAAAACAAATGCAGTCCCTTTGCCAAACTCACAAAAAGCATCTTTTTTCTTGTTTTGGGATGTTCTTAAATTAGACTGCAGTCCTACACCTTTGTCTACTTCCAGCTTTTACAAGACAGCTGCATAGTAATAATTGATCAAATTCTACATGAGATTAGCCCATGGGTACATAGCACGGTTCAAAATTTATTAAATCAAGGTAGAGAATTTAGTAAAATAGGCAAATATCATTTGCATCATTAATGAAAACTGGATAGTGGATAAATAAGAAGAGGAATGATGTTAAATTAAAATAAAACATATTAAAATGTCTGTCCCTTATCCATTTGATGGTTCAGTATGCTATTTCAGCCATGCAACATGATCTGAAAAGACGTGAGAGAAAATGAAAAGTGGATTTTGCAAATGGAAAGAAAACAGTAGCCTAAAAAAAATAATTCTAATTAGCCAATGCTTAGTGAAGGGTTAAAAAACCAGAAAGGTATGGAGGAGATTAAAAAGGTCACTGAGGTAAGACTTTCTTATCACAAAGAGGTAACAAGGTAATCAAAATGGGTCAAGACAGGGGTTAAAAGTGTAACAGATACCAAGGTACAATTAGGGTTGATGAATACAGGAAAGACAGGACAAGGAAAGTGTGTACACAGCACACAAATCGTACATCCAGCATAAACAGAGTGGCTGAAAGAGCAGCTAGTAGAAAATCAGTCTGTCATTTAAACCTGGGGGCAGATGTGAACCCAAGCGGATTATATGCTTGGTTTCCTGGGGTGGATTTCTTTTTTCCCTGCAATGTGTGTGCCTTGCCCTACACCTCCCTCCCCTTCCCCGCTAGCTGGCATCTTGGAAATTCTGCTGAAGGACACTAACGGATCAGAGAAGTCATGGTAGTTGGCAGTAAAATAGGACATGCTTGGTTTTCTGAGCTCTATGTATCAAATAGTTCTGTGATGGTCTCAGAAGTAAGCAGACAGATATTTTCATATTTTCCATATTTTAGACAAAAGCAGAATTGATCCAAGGTTGCTCAAATTAGGGTCTATTAAGAATGAGGAAATGGATGGTGAGTCCAGGAGGAGGAGTAAGGGGCTGAAGTTCCTTTGGCCCAAAGCAACTCCAGCTTATTCACACAAACTCTCGTGGAATTCCTAGGAATGACAGAGAAATTAGATGGATTTTACTAAAGACAAGGGAAAATGTGTCAGAAAGTGAATGCTAAAGCAGATCTTGAAGTCAGCAGTTAGAACAAACTTAATTGACGTGGGAGTGCAGACAGGTCCAGATGGCTTAGCTAGGCTGTAACCAAAGCACTGACTCTCAAACATGGCTATCCACAGCCTCTTTTTACATTTAATAATTTTTTACTATTTTTTGTTAATTTTTTTAAAAACTATTAATTTATCCCCATACTACAAGAAGGAGTCTAAAGCAATGAATTCAGGTTTTCAAAATTCCTGAAAAATATACATATCTTTAAAATTATGCACATAACACCTTGATGCAAATCTTAAAGCACCCTCTATAGCAAGTTCTCCATTTAATTGATAAAGTACCTCATACAAAAACTGTCTTTTATCTTAATTCAAAGGAGACTGTGAAGCTCCAGTGAATGAATGTATCTGTAACAGCCTCTTGCCCACAGTCTATCCCTTCTTCCTGTGTATTATATACATTATGCAGACATTTGAAAGATTATTTCTCTCACTTCTGTCTCAGGATCTTAAAAATTTGATGGTATTGACATAATTTACTCCACTTTCATATCAGATTGCTATCAGAAGCAAGAATTTACTGCTTCAGCAAAAGAAACATTTGTTTTGGTAATTTTCTTGGTTTAACAGAATCACTACTAAGAAGTAAAAACTCTTGTAACACTAGCCAGTTCCTGTTTTGCATGTCTCCAGGGACTAGCAGGAAGGAAGAAAACTGTATATTTTTTCCCTCTGAAAACTAGATCTCCTTTTGATTTCAACCCCTTAGGGATCCATTCTACATTTCTGATGCGTGACAGTGTTTTGCAGCACAGTCACCCACAGGAACACAAAAACACCTGACAACAGGAACTGGGTCATCTTTGGGGTTAAACAGAAAAATGAAACCAACAAAACTGCCAGCAAAATTCACTAGGTCCAGCAAGAACTTCTTGGTAGCTCTTACCCAGAAGTATCTATTAGTAATAGTTACTCCTTGCCAGCAGCCAGACTTCTTAATCTCATTGACTAGATCAGATTTCAAGGCTATTCAATTCTGTTTCAGAGTCAAATGACGTTCTGTCATAACTGTTCACATGTTATACCCTTTGCATACTGTCCTAATCTCTTCAGTCATAGAAGCATATCCTTTGAAGCCATCACATCTTAGTTTACCCGTTGCCATGTGGACTTGCCTCACTTGTTAGCTGCTAGAGTAATAAGAATGATAACAATATTAATAACAATAAGCCATTGAATACAGCTTTCAGTCATTTCTCAGCAAACTCGACCTACTTTAGAAATATTTTGGCTTCAATATTATCTCCAGAGACATTTATTTAACAGCAGGATCAACTTCAGGGCCTCAGCTGGCACCTTCATGCCCAACAGAAGGGGATATTACTGCATTGCAGCAGGTGCAGCCTGTAAGCTTAAAAACATCTTATCTGGTGGCCTTTAAAATTTTGTTTGTTCCAGAGTTTTGACATTCACTTATTATTTACTACCCAACTACGGTATTTCTAAAACATGTTTGGCTTCCTGACACAATCTCTCTCAAATACTGTGTGTGGCATATGGAATCTGGCTTCCATAAAGGCATCCTTGTGTTGACAGTCAGGAAGGTGACAACAAATAAAAATAATTATGTGGGGGAGGGAAAAGGATTTCAGAAGATAAATTTAGTCTCAGTTCATCTCACTGACAGGCATCTCAGAAAACATTTAGAGTGGACAGAAGGATATCATGGAAAGAACAGCAGTTGGAAGTGAAACAAGGCTAAATTGATCTACTGTTTCATACCTCAAATGTCCTCTAAACTTCCCCTGAAGACCAGGAGGTATTTACCCAACCTTGTGATGCAAAATCAACCAAGTTTCACTTGTTCTTTTTAGCTTCCTACTCCTCTGTCCTGTCCAAATTCAACCATCTTAATAAGTTCTACTTTTTAATCTTGAATTTATTTCAAATTCAAGCACCTTTCTCTCCTTATCTTCCACCCTTAATTTTCTTGCAATGTATAAATTCACCCCAGGAATCTCTGTAAGGTAAACAGAGCCAATAGGTGGAGAACTTGGCCTAGTACCACACTGGAGAAGACGAGGCTCAGGAGAGAACTTTTCACTCTCTACAACTCCCTGACAGGAGGTTGGAGCCAGGAAGGGGTCAGTCTCTTCTCCCAGGCAACCAGCAGCAGGACAAAGGGTACAATCTTAAGCTGTGCCAGGGAGGTTTAGGCTAGACATTAGAAAGAAGTTCTTTACAGACAGAGTGATCAGACATTGGAATGGGCCACTCAGGGAGGTGGTGGAGTCACCATCCCTGTAGGTATGTAGGAAGAGACTGGATGTGGCACTTAGTGCCATGGTCTAGTAGACAAGGTGGTGCTGGGTCAAAGGTTGGACTCGATGATCTCAGAGGTCTTTTCCAATCTGGTTGATTCTGTGTGTCTGTATGGTACTATATTCCAGTTTTTATTTCATGTGGGCCTTCAAAATGTAGTTTGAGTATTTGTCCCCCACCCCTCCCTGCCTTCTTACCAATAAGCCCCGAGTAAGCGAGCAGGCAGTCAGCATAATTCTCCTTCAGACAGCTGCTAACAGACCGTGACTCAGGCTGGCAGTTTGTGAAGAAATCTGCAAGGCGAGATCTGCAACATGAAGAAAAATGCATATCTTTAAAAATCAAGCCTGCAGGCATTCTTACCTTTTACACTCTCTTTATTTTTGGACAAGGCTTAATATTCTTTAACTCAAATGCATATTGGACACATTTCAGCTGATGAGAGTCGCTTTCCAAAATCCATCTCTTTCCAGAGTCTATTTTTGTAGTCAGAACTAAAAAGTGTAAGAAAACAGTAAAAAGGGACAGAACAACAGGGCAATGCATGCCCTTTACTAAAAGAAATGTTCTGCATTTTCATGCCAAGAAAAAAAATACAAAGAGTGATTTTATCAGTCATTTTGCCTGGATCTGAACTCTAACTGGAGTCTGTTGTCCTGAAGATTCAGAACACAGTTTCTGCTGTCTTAGTGATTACACAAAACTATATGTTTGTACTCACAGAGCCCTCTTACTGCAAGAGTGGAAGCAGGACCTGCTTTGGTACTGCCCTGAGTTTCCAGGGAATGGGCTTTCCCCTGCTCTGGACTGGCCTGCAGGACCAGCTGGCTGAACTGGGGTAGCAGGCAGAACCAGCTGGCATGGTCTCCACATCCCCCAGAGCTATGGTACTGAGAATCTATTTGTTCTTGTAAATGTGCTTTTATCTGAAGTCTAGAGTGCTGAGTCCAGGGCTGAGGAAAGGGAATGTGTGCTCTGCATCGAGTTCTGCTGCTGAATGGCCATATTATCTTCAGTTCCCTCAGTGGCCCCACGACTAAGAAGAGAGCACTGCTTACTGACAGGAGGTGCTTTAAGACTAGGAGTGAAGCTGTATTGTCATTAACTGATTATTTCTATGTTGGAAAACAAAATAAAAGGACCAGCAGCCATGATCTCTTCTGGTTATTTGTGCTTTAAAGGCCACATAATGCTCCCATTCAGGTCTGTAAAATTTGTGAGGCATTGAGATGAGGTGGGTCAAGGTCCCACAACCTTACAGTTGCTCTCCTGCCCTGCTCAGGCTTATAAACTTGGATCAGTGACTTTTGTTTACTTATAAAGTATCATTTAGACCTCTATCTCCATGAAAAAAAAAATGGAATATCCCTACTTCGATCTTCTCTTCTTTGAAATAGGTACAAAAATGTTCTTTTGTTAAAAACCCACAGTAATGCCTCAGGATCAGGTGCTTAATGTTTGCAAAGCTCTCTCCAAATCAGAATTGTATAATCTATGAATTTTCATCACTGTTCTAGCATTATGCAGATTTGCAATATAAATGTTATTTTTTAGTTTTGCACCAAAACCACAGAAGTTAGCAGAAACAAGTGATTTGCAAGTGATTTACTTTATTTGTTTACATACTCCAGAGACTAATTATCTTTGCTTACTTTATTGTTTTACCTACCCCAGAATGGGATTGGATACACATCATTAATTGGCCTGAAAGTAATGATGGGCAAACTTCAAAAGGTTCACAGGCTTAGTCTGAGAAAGCATCCTATAAATAGACTCTGTGCAACCTATACCTGAATTTATCGGAGCTGTTCTCATGGCCTTTTTTTAGTTCCCTTTCTCACTAGCTGTACTGACACCAGCAAATCCATGGTTGCCTTCAAGCCACAAGTCAACTCTAAGCTTTTCATTCCCTCTCTTCCCTCATTTAACCACTTAACCTTGAGATGGAAATTTGTATACCCAGTTGCCTTTAATAGCCTTAAAAAGTAAAGCTCTCTACCAATCCTTCAATATGCCCTGTATGTATACCTAAATTCCTAAACTCACATAAAATCCCTACTTTGCTGGTTAATATATACTGTATCTATCAGGAGACAGGCTGACAAGAAATGGGTCCCAAGGTATGGGAAGAGATAAATAGCACCACGAAGAAAATCTGGGCAAGGAAACCCTATGTCACTGCACTGATTCCTCTACCAGTCAATAATTAAGATAGTGGCTCGAATACAGCCTTTGAATCAGCTGGGAACAAACACAGTTGACAGTTGCCAAGGATTTTGCTAATTCTACTAATACCCATATGAAGTAAGGTTTAGGACAGAATAGAACCTCCTACACCTACCTAGTACGAAAACCCTCTGCCATGGTAGAAGGAGCAAGCCTGCTGTATGCACAGCATTTTTACACTTCTAAAACAAAGTAGCTCCTCACATTTAAATTTCATAATTTATGTGATCACAAATAAATCTTTCTGGAGATGCAATTATACAATCAGCATCTTGATAGTCCTGAAAACATGCCTTGCAATCATTTCATCATTCTTAAATGTCCAGTTCTCCCTTAGGTTATTAGGTGCACTGGTACAGAGATCATTTAATACATTCCTCTTCTCTAAACGTTTCTAAGGACTGATAAATATGGAATAACAACAGTCATTTACTACCTGGTCTGCTTAAAGAACTTATTTGTTGTAAGCCCTAAAGGCAGCTAAAAATTGCTCTGCTGATCTCCTTTACATACAGCTTGATTTATGTGTGAATTCATGAAGACTTTTTGTGGTCATAAAAGGTAATGATCTGACAATGTTGCACATTTAAGTTTTCTAAAGTCAAATATAGTTCAGACAGCTCTGGTCCAAGCATTACTGGACATTATCATACACCTCTTCCCTAGTGAGTCATCGAAACTTCATACTATCAAAGCTCTCACTCTCTCCTGAGCTGTTAACCACAGCTGATATTTATGTGGATTCATTTCCACTGGAGATAAAGTTAAGACCAGAAAATAAAAACAGACACAGACCTATAACTGTCATAAAATAATTCCAACACTTTCAGTGAAGATCTACTGATTAACACTCACTGAAGATCTAGCCCCAAACGTTTCCAGTAGACTGGCACTGATGAAAGTGTGCTCATCAGTTAACGCCAAAACAGTGGTACTGCTATTTATCTAGAGAGAGAGACAAATTAGCTTAATGAGAACCATTAATCCTAAAGTATTGCACATGAATATTAAGAACTGTTTGAGTAAAAGAGAAAATCCTTTTAGGGATGCTGAATAAGAGCAATCAGATAATAGCACTCCTATAAAAAAATCTGCATACTGTGTCAACTTAGTGCTCCTTCAGCAGGAAAAAACTTGCAGGTAGTAACTTGTGGTTAAGTGTCTAACCACATGACTGAGTAGTTTTGTTATCTAGAGAACAAACAGAGCTCTCAACACGTACCATCAGGTATGGCAATTTTACATGTGCAACGTACATCGATGTGTCTCACCACTGGATAGAAACAGGCAGTTTTATACTGTACAGAATGTGTAGCAGGACCACATTTAGAAGGAGCTATTTGTTTATTTTTCTGTCACAAAATCCTCATTATACACAGCAGCATTAATGGGTTTTTTTCCTTTCCCTTCCATAAAAAAAATCTCCCCTTTGTAGGGCAGAAACCCCACAAATTAAATTAGTCCTATCTTAGACCTGGAAAATCTCATCAAAGTAAACTGCAGATGCTCTGGAAAGCTTACTTTAAATATTTTGTATACCACTAGCTGAAAAAGTAAGAATAATCCTATTGGCAAATTCAAAGAAAATCAAACAAACAGTCTTTCTGAAAAGAAGACAAAAAAATCCCAAACCTGCTATTCTCCAATGCTTTGTATTAGCACCAGTAAAATAATTTGTAACAGTTAAAAATACAATGGAAACAAAGTTAATTTGCTCTCCTTAAGATAGTGGTTCTTCAAATACTCAGCAGGATAAATCAAAACTTTCAAATTTTGCTCACAAATAAGCTTTGTTAATAGCAGTATTGTGTTTAATCTGCATATAATTGTTGAGGCAATTTTATATTAGCACAGTCTGTTGCATAGACAATATTGATTAGGTTTTCACTATTTTTTGTTCTCAAGGTTTTGTAAAAGTTCTTTGACGTCCTGAAGTTATCTCTGATATTTATCAGTTCTCCCTCTTTAAAGCTGGTCAACTCAGCTTTAATACTGGTGCAATATTTAAAAGTGTGATATAGATGGTGAGGTTGCAGAAAAAATTTAAAACTGCATTTTTACTTTGGATCTGGTATAAATGAGAAAGCAATTCTATGAACCAGAGTCCTCCCGAAGAAGTACACATATTGCTGGGCTGGTAGATGTGGATTTCCTTTCATTTTTTCTCTCTGTGCAGTTGGTACACAAGGGCTGAGCCTTCACAGAGAGCAATCTTCTCTCTCAGCCTTGCCTTTGCATTGGTGATATGCAGACCAAGAAATCCAGATCTCCTGTTGACTGCACACACGTATGGAGTGATGTCCAAGTGAGCGGTTACAACTTCTTGTCCTGTTAGGAATGCAGGGACCGACACTGCTGTCCTCTGTACACACCTCAGGGATGTTAGGTGAAGTCTGGACATCCTCACTGCCACCTCTCTTTACACTGCTGCTTGTGTTTAGGTATACCTATTTATAGCAGCAACATAAAGAGTAGGTAAATGCCAAAGCTGAGAGACTGGGGTGACTACATTAATTAGTCAAAGCTGCTCTGGCGTCTAGACACCATTTGGCAGTGCAGTCACGTAAGGGAAGTGCTGCATCAATATTCAAACCAGAAAAGAAGTATAAATCTGACACTGAAAAAACCCAGACTAAGTCAATGAATGTGTGTCATAGTGATAAATGGCACCATTATAAAAAAAACAAGTCCAAATACTTGTTCTTCTTTTGTGGGGGTCAACTGCAGTACCCTACTCTGTAGCTACAAATAGCTCCTCTATAGCTGGGGTGATGCTGCTTCTGCTGGGATGCAATAGTGGCAAGAGGGGTTGGTATGTGGCCAAACTAATGGCTTCATTGTTGGAGGAGAATTTAATTTTCTCTTTCTTTCATAAACAGAGCAGTTAAAAAATGAGGCAAAGGCTACATAAGCAGCTTTATCAACCAGTAAGACGAAAAAAGCCTCAGAGCAGCTCCATAAGGAAAGATGACCCTCCCAGCACTTATTAACATAGCACTGATCCTTTTGTTTTCATTAAAAGACACTAGAGCTGGGTAATATTAACACATCTCACACCTCCTTAGTTATCTACACACAGGA